TCAGGGAGGCCAGGCGGGGCGGGGCGGGGCCTGCCCAGGAGGTGCCGCCCCTGGCAGAGTCCAATGCCAATTACTTGCCCGGGGTAGGACAGTGGGTGCACGTGGCGTGGGCTGCAGCCGGGGTGAAAGCTGCCTGACTCAGCGGTGCGTGTAACGCCCCACACGAGCGATTGCCAAACCGGGCTTTACGCCGCACTGCAGCTGTCAGCCACTCTTTGGCCCCCGCTGCCGCGATCGCTGCTGTCCCGATTGCCCCTGCCCATTGCTGCCAGCCATGTTCACCCCCCGGGGCACCTCGCACCCCGGGAAACGCTGCTGTGTCGTCTGGGGCTCCCTCGCGGCAGCTGCTGATAGTAGGAAGGGGAAATCTTGCCTCCTGGCTCTGTTACAGACCGAAGCAAAGCGGACAACAGGGCGAGTTAATATTTAAGGACCTGTGAAAAGGAAAACAATACTATTAGGTGGACGCTCCAGCTTGACAGATGCATTTCTGAAGATTTCATGAAGCCAGTAATAAAACAACATATTCTTTTCTTAAAAAAAGAAAAGAGCTGAACATTTTGTAACACACAATATATATTGCATCCCACACCAAGGTAATTCTTTTCTGGACCTCATCGTGACAGACACGATTTTGTGTTGAATACATTGGAAGACTGAAAGTTTATGGCTTTTTAGGGACCAGTATTCATAACCTGATCATTCTCAACCTAGGCCAACAGAACACATCCTTACCTCTCTCTCTCTCTCCAAAAAGACTAATTTCCTACAACTGAAGTGAAACTAATTGGGAGGAAAAATTAGAAAAATGGGAGTTCTTTAAAAAAAAGGTTTATGAGATGACCAAAATGGTCATGATGTCATACTTGAGAGCCATAAAAAGGCTGATCGAGTTAGGTGGAGAATGTGTAAACTTAAAAATGTGTAAGGACATACAGGTATATCTAGGACTTTGCAGTTTACATAAGCTTATATTAAGAGAATGGGAAACAGTTCTGTCGCCAGGGAATAACCTTTACCATATCAGAGTAAGCAAAATCATTCTTAGTTTCCAAATTATTTGCTGGTAAACAGACCTTAATCTATTTTTTAAAAATGCTGAGAGTTATATTCTGAATGGATGGAACACATGATGGCTGGTAAGAAACTTTCAAATCTCATTAGGACTTAAGGAATGTAGTCACCTGCACCCCACCTGTTACTTGTTGAAATCATATCTGTGAAGTCTTCATGTTTTAATCCCATGCACTTCATATTTTGTAGCCAATCAATGTGGTTTTAAAAAGATAATACTGAAACTGCTCATAAAGATGGTAGTATTTGGGATGCTCCAAACTGATCAAAGGCAACCTTGTCCACACTGGAGTACTTTATCACCAGCTTTTCTCAGAAATTCTCCAGGGAGGTGCCCAGGTATAGACTGAGGTAGAAATGAAATCATAATGGTCTGAATATATGTCCAAGCAGGTGTATTCCTCTTGCTTTGAGGCTGGTTCAGAGGAGGAAACAGACCAAGACAGCAAGGCTATGCCATCCTGATCAACCAAGTGGCTAAGGGAAGCTTGCTTACGTAGAGTAGCAGCTAAACAGAACTTTACCACAGCCAAGCTACAGTCCTGCTTCTAATGCTCCAAACACGACAAAAGCTAAAATGTTAATATGGCTCTTTAAAGTATTTTTATTTTTTCTGTAGTTGGTTACAGTGAGGATACCTACCTAGTTATTATTTTTCTCACGTTTTTTAAATGTGTGAGGGAATGGTGGATGTGTTAAGTGGTAGCATACACAAATTCCTAGCAAATTTTGCCTTAAATTATCCTCTATCATTCCAACTTGCTCAAGAAAAAAGGGAAAATTGAGAGCCAGAAGCTGCATCAAAGTAGGAACATTTATGCAAAAGCAGAATGGCACAGATCACTCGATAAACAGGAACCTTAAAATGCCCAGCTTCCATGTGCTGGAAAACATGCTAGGTCCATCAGGTGTCCATAGTTACTATTTGTAAGAACTGATCTTATCACGTGTAATTGCATGAGCTGAACCTTACTGGGTTTCAGGGGATGATCTGATCAGCTGTTGACTTTATTGATGGATATGATTTGAAGTGTAACCTGAAAAGGATGTTGTACTGTTCAGATATAGTTTAGTAGAAATTATAACTCTGCAAGCCAATTCAAATCCAAAAGTAGTTTGCTTATTAAAATGTATAAAAAGCTTATAGAACTGTTTTTCTGTCACAAATTAGTGACTAGGGCCACCAACCATGGGAGTAGTAACCTGAAATAGTTGTAAGCCACTTGCACCTCCATGAAAATGTATACGTATGATCTTCACTAGCCCCTCCTGTTTCAGCTGCTAACTGAAGGCAGCAAGTTAAACTAAAAAGGCAAAGTAGAATACATAACAATACGAAAATATACATCAATTGATATCAAGTAGAAGTCATGAAGATAGGATCATTGATTATAGAAGTGACCACATCTGGAAAAAAATCGTGGCTGGCAGGATTAACAATAATTTTTTTCAGTGAAGAAATCTTTTTAGAGATTGTAGAGACTGAGATAGGAAAACTGTTAAAGAAAAGGCAGAAGTCAGGTTCTGCAGGAATTGGCATGCACCCAATATTTTAATCAACAAGTGGAAGTAAAAATAAAATCACTGATGATAAAGCCCTCTGGCGGGCTTTAAACTAAGCTCGTCAGGGGACAGGGAAGATGAGGGCGGAGGAAGCCTTGAACCACTAAACCAAGCGCTACCCACAAGAACAGCCGAGCCTGGACCAACGACAAGCAGAATGAATACCCAGGTAAGCAACTGGGGCCCGGGCAGTACTTAGATTAGGGGGCCAGTGCACACATCTTCAGGAGGCCTCAAATGCCTCTACACAAACACTCATAGCATGGGGAACAAGCAGGAGGAACTTACCCTCCTGCTAGCTGACACCAAGCCAGACATAGTAGGGCTCACAGAAACATGGTGGGACCCAACGCATGACTGGGCGGTGAATATCAAGGGCTATAGGCTGTATAGGAGGGACAGGACAGGGAGGAAAGGTGGGGGTGTAGCGCTCTACATCAAAAGAGGAATACACATCCTCATCTAGTAGCACAAGGTCAGATGAGGGGCACACTGAAGTGCTCTGGGTTAGAATACAAGGGAGTCGAGGGGAAAGCGACTTAATGGTGGGGGTCTACTACAGACCTCCCAACCAAGGGGAAAAGCTAGACCGGGAATTCTTAAGTCAGCTCACAGAGGTAGTTAGGTCAAAAGACGTGGTCATCATGGGGGACCTGAACTTTCCAGACATCTGCTGGGAAGAGCAGTCAGCCAAGTCGCGTAGGTTCCTAGCCGAGATACAGGGCCTCCATCTGACCCAGGAGGTCCACAGCCCCACCAGGGGAGACGCCTTGTTGGATCTGGTGCTGGCCATAGGCGATGACCTCGTGACGGGGCTGCGGGTGCTCGACCACCTGGGCGACAGCGATCATCACCTGCTGAAATTCACCATCCAGCACAAGGTGGCAAAAGCCTGCAGCAAGGCAGCAGCCCTGGATTTCAGGAGGGCAGATTTCAATGAGGTAAGAAAAACAGTTGGGGAAGTACTGAGGTCCCGGAGGGGAGGGGAGTCGGGTGTCCAAGAAGAGTGGTCGTTCCTTAAGGAGACGATCCTCCAAGCCCAAAGGGAGGTAATCCCAACAAGGATCAAAGGGGGCAAGAGCGCGCAAAAGCCCCCATGGCTCACCAAAAGCATATGGGAACATCTCCTAGCTAAAAGGGAGGCATACACGCAATGGAAGGGAGGGGCCATCACCAGGGAGGACTATACCTTGGTTGCTTGAGGCTGCAGGGGGG